AAGCTTTATCCGAAGAAGTGGGCTGTAGTCCACGAAAGCTTATGCTCTAATAAATTTGTTAGTCTCTAAGGTGCCACAAGTACTCCTGTTCTTCTTAAAGCACAGACTGTTGCGGGAAAGTCAGATAAACTGGCAACAAGGATGACATCAGAGGCAGAGTGAAAAGCGATGTGAAAAAAGACTAGGTTAGAAGTAGAAAAGGCAGAGAGTTATGCAGGGCCTTACTGGCAGTAACACGAAACTTGAACTTGAAAGAGTGGAAGAGGAGAAAGTGGTGTGGCATAGTCAGATCAACAGTCTACAAAAGCAGCTGTTTTCTCTAAGGATTATAGGGAATGGTATGGGCATCAAGTGGGAAAGATAAAAAGAGGCTGCAGTATCAAAGGTGACATATCAAAGCCTTGTCAAGAGTCTTTAATGGCTAGACATTATGGAAATGTTGTGGAGAAAGAATTATTTGGGCACAACCTGGATGTGGGGGGGAGGGGGAGGGAGAGGAGAGGAAGAGATATGTCAAAAATGAAAGAATAGGGGTTGAGTTCATAGTAAAAAAAATAGGGAGGTCTGTTTAAGTTGATGGTGAGAAGTCAAGGAAGAGATGTCAAAGAGGTAGGATGAAATATAGAATTGGATAGTGGGAAACAGGTTAGGAGTGAAGTGATAGATTGGTGAGTCAACAGTATAAAGAAACACTAGATGAGCTCATCCAAAAAGATGTAAAAGGAAAGAACTGGGGGTGAAGAACAGAGCCATGTGCAACCCCTCTCCCCCGAAGGTGGGGAGGAAGGAGGAAGATTACCCATCAAGAAAGACATTACAAAAATACCTAAAGAAGTAGAAGGAGAACCAGGAAAAGAGAGAGTATTCAAAGGGTATGATACCTAAAGTAGCCTAACTGCTCATTAATGGCCATCTTTCTCAACTTACAATAGAACTTGGATACACTTGGTGAGTGCGGTGACTAGAATGTCTTTCATGGCATCAGAATTTACCGGATGATACAAGTCAGTGATTATGAGTCAGTGTGACTGAGAAATACAAACAGATGCTGACAGTACCCTATGTTTAATTGCTTTTCATCACGATGGCCTAGTTATCAATGACAAAGAAACCAACTTTGTACTGTTCACCTTCTGGCCATGTATCCGGAAATTACTGTAGACAGCACATGCGGAGATGTGTACTCTTTGTTGAGAAGGATTGTATTAAAACAAAATGGACGAGAAGAGGAAACTGCAGGAAACTGGTAGCAGCAGCAGCAGCATTTCGAGGGCAGCCACTGTTCAGAATATGTACAAGTATGGGATACTAGGATCAGTCAGCATAAGCACATATAATAAGCTGATGCATGCTCATGAAATCTGCTGATACAGCTTTAATAATGGTCTTGTGAGAAGCCTTGTGCTTGAAGGGGCATTCACAGGAGATGGGAGAGAGAAACATTTAAATTATATTAAACAGGTTTTCACTTTGATTTCAGAACTAAATTTAGTCCAATATATTTTGCAACAAAGCGTTTTAAAATACCGCAAAAAGGTATCCTCCTATGCAGATCCTTTCAAACTATGCTAAAGAGATAATTAAAAATAAACATTTTAGTGATGAAAGCCAGTATACTTACTTCACATACAAATCCAAATGTCTGGGGAAATCTATTTTGCCAGCAAGAATCTTCTGATATATACCAAATGGGTTGTCATCAAAAAATGGAGGAAACCTATTTGAATTAAACAACCAAAACACAGCTTTCTTTAGTCATCTGCAAAAATGTATAATGGTATTATGTTGAAGTAATTTATCTGCTGACCAGATTGTTAGGTACATAGTTATTCTGTATGCACCGAGGCATTGCGTATTGAAGTCAGGGTTAACCACACCTCTGTAACCCAATTAAGATCGCTATTCTGCAAAACATAGAATGTACAGAAAATATTCAGAATATATGAAAATTTAAATACTGAGAACTATTTTTAATATTACAACAGAAAGGTCAGTCACATATAGTGAGGGAAGATTTCCCTTAGAAAGTCTGTGCTTTGGCTTCTTCCCTATTGGTGAAATTTGAGAGCATTCACCAAAACCAGTTCTTCCCTTCTAGTCTGAACACTACTGACTTTCCCTTTACCTTGGCTGCCAATTCCAGAATTAATTATGAAAGTGTAGAGCCTTACCTTTAAAAGACAATATAAAAATAAGGAGCCAGTTGCCTCTTTTTTTTTTGCTGCACCTCTTGCAACAACTAAGAATTTGTATCCTCTCTTGGGGTTCTCTTTCTATAGGCTGACAGTATTTGCTCACCAGAAAGGATACATGTATCACTGTGGAAATATATCACTTCAGTAGATTTAATAAACTGAATTCTGGACTCCATACATTTCCTGGAATACTGGACATCCACCTTCCTAAAAGTTACCCAGGGGAATCTTTTTTATCAGAAGAAGCTACTGTGTAACTACTGCTCTTACAGCCACCACCCATACATGGAATGTGGTGTCACTGTTAGCAATGCTTTTGCTTCTAAAATTGAAAAGGGTTGCAGCTCCTCATCTTCACTGTTGTCAAGGCTGTACGGGGAAAAAGCACCACCACTATTTTTTACTTTACATCGAGTCTTTAGTAGTGTAATGCCTTATGTAGACTAGGAAGAAGGCTGGTGTTTTTAATGTATTGGCTAAAATGTTTAAAGAAGTGCTGAATAAAACCATGTTAAATCCTATCTACATTAGGTTCTAACACATTTAAAAGTTAGTTTCGTCCCTACTGTGTTAACACACTTAGCTCCTTTTTTTAAATGTGTACATTAGGTGCTAATTCTTTACAAACACTTGATAGTCTAGACAAGACCTTAGTGCCAGAACAATAAACATTTTCCTCCTACATGACTTTTTTCTGAAGCCTTGTGTTTTTGTTTTTTTAATTTAGTCTCTTGTTCCATAATTACTGTATGTCAGGTAGATACTAACTGGACAGTTGTTACAATATACCAGATTGTAACTTCATGTAACAAGTACAGTAACTGGATTAACATACCTCATACACTGTAGTTACCAAACCACAGTCACAGGCAACAACCAAGTTCAGAGTTTCCCTAGATGCTGTTTGAGTGTCCAAGAAAACAACAAACAACAACAACAAAAAACTGCCATACCTTCACCAAAGAAAATAACTAAAATATTTTTGGTAAGAACAGACAAGAGGGTGGAACTTTTTTTTTTATTCCCCTCCATAAAGGGAAAAGTAACAATAAACCTTTTTTGGATGATCTCACCATGAAATAGTGGAGCTATTTGTCCGGGAAACTTCAGAACATACAATCACAAGTTTTTCTGAAGTCTAAGGTCCAGATTTTTAAAGGTATTTAGGCACAGCTATACTCTGATTTAGGAACCTAAGTCTCATTTTCAAAAGTAATTTAAGTACTTCAGTGTCCAGATGTCAGTGGGATTTAGGCTTCAAAGTGCCAAACTGTCTTTTAAAAATGTGCCTAAATATCTTTAAAAATCTGGGCCTAAATTCCTATCTCAGACAACTACAAGAAAGAACAAGGTAGCAAGCGAGGGTATCAAATTTTGGGTGTGCTCAGTTTATTCCCCCCATATATAGCAGAGAGATTGAATGGATGTCCTGTTTCTTATTTAGGACAGCCTATAGAATTGTGTTGCATCTGTGTAATATTTTTATTCATCCAAATGATACTAAACTCTAAACTTTCCATTTTGTATTTATGATTAAGATTCATAATCCTATTTTTGACTTGGTGCATGCATTATAAAAAAATGAATTTTATGCAAGAAGATTTTTTTGATGGAAGTTACTTCCATCTTATTTCTGATTGGATTCTCTCCCATGGAAAAGCCCAGGTGAGACATTGAGAAATATGATAGGGAATGAATGAGTCTAACAATCAATACAAGTTATTACACTGCCACAAATTAAAAATGCAATTTCTTTCTGAAAAAGTATGCCATTCAAATCTAATTGTAACTGCTACATAGGACAGATATGTACTCCATCAGTTGCTTAGAGAGCTTCTGGAGCAGAAAGCAATGCTGACATCTGGATTCCATTCAGTAAAATGATAATATTGGAATGCAAATTTGTGCTTCAATAATTCTCTACTGTTGACAATTGCAGACACATTTTATAAACAGTACGCTATTGCTGGAGTATACATTTGTTTTCTCTTCCAAAAGACTTAATTGCTTAACACAGCTTTGCCCTCTAACATTAATCTCAGAGAAAAACCAAAATGGCAGCATCTTGGAAGACTGGTCCTATTTATAAAATGCTAAATGTTCAGTTATGGTTAGAAAGCACTCCACTATACTGTGTTCATTTTATAGGATACTACTCTAATCAGACATGAATAATCCCTATGACTAGCAGTGGAGCAGGGATTTTGTTTGTGACTATATATATCCACTTTTATTCAACTCCTACATATCAAATATATTCCCAGAGGCGGCGTTCTTCATCTATTCTTGAGAATACTGACATCTCAGAGATATTGACATGGGGAATATTACATGCAACCATATTTTGCATGAAAGGAAAATCTGATAGCACCCAAGTGGAACTAGTAAAAGAAAACAAAAGAAAGACTAAGCAACATATGATAGGACATTCAGCAACTTTTAAGAAGGTTAGCATGTTTTCCTTGAAAAGCTTGTTAGCCTTTAAAAAAAAGAAGAACTGCAAAACAAAAACCTCAACATTATAGTTATCTGATGAATGTCCCTAATAAGTTTAAAGGAGCACAGACAGCAAAGTTAAATGGGATACTACACCAACTTGAAATTAGTCATTAAAAAAAAGATGCAGAAATCCCACCTGCCCCGATGTCCATCAAATTTGTGATTTTACAAACATCTCCCCCCTTCATTTTTAAGTTCCTCTCCCCTGTTGCTGTGTTAAAGACTCATACAAACATAAGAAAAATCAGCAAAATTGATGAGTTATCAAATGTATAAATTGAAAAAAAAACAATTCTATTCTTTTTCAGTTACTGTAATCTAGCTGTGACCTGTCACAATAATAGATTAAAAAAAAATCCAATTTTTTTTTTAATTAATGTTGACCATGTCCCTTCACAGTGTAGGCCTGGCTAGAATTTGAACCCACTGCAGATCACTGTTCACCTGGAGTTCTCATTGCTTCTGGATACCCCAACAGCCACAGACATGGTAGGCACCCTTTTCCATCTACAGCTGACAAGCAGGCTGTGTCCCTTCTGTCATGTTCAGACTTTGTTATGGTGATTCACATCTTCGTGATCTCCAGGCTTGACCACTGTAATAATTCTCTAACTATTAATGAAGCTGCCAATCTTTTCTTAAAAAAAAAAAAGCGACAGTTGACTTAGAACACAGTAGTACTGTCTGCTTAGGAACGAAGGCTGACAAAAGTACATCCCCTGGAGTGCTCTCCTCACTGCCTCCCTATGGAATACCATGTCAAATTCAATGTTTCAGTCTTAAACTTCAAAGTCACATAAGGGGTAGGTCAAATTTCCTGGGGACTGCCTGACCCTGCTTCATTATGACTTCCCATGGCTTCTGTGTTCCACTATGTGCAGGAGTCAGAACTTTCTGCACAACTGCTTCACAAATCTGGAGTAAAGTCCCAGACGATATTAAAATGACTACAAATCACACGGATTTCAGATGAAAATTCCAAGCCCACTTTAAATCACCATTTCATCATGGATATTTTTAGTAAAAGTCATGGACAGGTCGCGGGCAATAAAGAAAAATTCAAAGAAGCTGTCCCTGACTTACTAAAAATATCCATGACAAAATATTAGCCTTAATGATAGGTGTGTTGTGGTGCTGAAAATTTCTGTAGAAAGACAGTTGTAAACCACTCTCTATGTTGACTGATTCATGGGATGGCACTGAAAACAATCTCAGAGGATTAAATATGGATTTTGTCACTAAAAAGGTACAATAGAAGCATCTGCCCCTCCTTGCCATAAAAAAAGGATAACAAATCCAAGTGCTGATAGCTGTAGGAAAAAAGAATGGTAGATAACTTACTGCCCCGTCTATTTAGGTAAGCTCCAGTATCATGTAGAGCTACACTATAAAAAACAACCCATAATTCATGCCAATATCCCTTCATTAAAAGAAGAATTTTCATTTGGCGACATTCTGATGACATGACTACAGATCGACATGACTACAGATCGACACATCTAACTTGTTAAATAACCAATATTTGACATTAGGCAGAACAGGTATCACCTACGTCTGTTAAAGGATAGGCAGGGTTTGAATCCTGACATTTTAAGATTCCACCATGAAGACACGGCAGTTGGTGTGACGTGCCTTGCCCTACTATACCAGGTTGTGTACAGGAGGGTCCTAGACCAATGTCTTAGTTTGGATTTTCTTCAATTTTTTTTTCGGGGGGTGGGGTGGGGGGCTGGAGGAGGACATCTTTGGAATGGAAGTATGAGATAAGATTTTGTCTCCTAAAAAGTTGAAAAACAACCTGTTTAAAGTCTCAGAAGAGAGTGGTAGGTCAGATACTCGGTGGGTTGTCTTGCTGCCACAGGCAGTAAATGGGAAATGAGAGAGGGTTATAGCCATTCTACTCTTCATACCCTTGTACAGGAGCACAAAGATGCACAAGACACATGTGCGGCCCAAAGAGATATCCTTTTATACTGCTGTATGGCAGCATTAGTGATAAAATTCCATCAGTCCTCTTTTTTTATTCCAGTACACTTTCAGCAGACATGCAGTGCACATGCAAAGAAAGGTATAGTTTTTAAAAAATTTTTGAAGTCTTTATATATAATATACAACAGGGGTCGGCAACGTTCGGCCGCGGCTTCTTGCCACCCCCATTGGCCCGGGACGGCGAACTGTGGCCAATGGGGGCCGCGATCGGCCGAACCTGCCGTGTCAGCAGGTAAATAAAACTGGCCCGGCCCGCCAGGGTGCTTACCCTGGTGAGCCGCGTGCCGAACATTGCCGACCCCTGATATACAAGTAAATACTCAATTGGGCTTTTATTTTCAGTATAATCAAATAGCTGAAACAGGAAGAACTATATTAATTTTCCTTTTTTATTTTTCATTTTAAAAATTATATTGATTAAAAACCTGACAACATACAAGTTTCAATTTCCCTCCTTAATATTTAACTCAAATACTTAAATGAATGTATTTGTAATATCAAGAAATCTTTCTTTAGTGGCAAAGATTTTAAGTTTGTCTTCTGAGAACACTGCCATCTAGTGAATCCCAAAATATTGCTGGAAATAAAGTTTATAAGCATATGAACTCAAGAAAGAATCCCTGGATAGCTTTTGCTTTTTTACCCCTCTCCTTCTCCTGCACCTTTTTGGAATTTACTGTACTAGTAATAAACTTTTCGTCCAAAGAAATAAAGCACCATAACAGAGTGCACAAAATGAAATAATGCAGAATCTGTTTTCCAATTGCCATGTTCCAACTTCCATAAGACAGGAGAGGTTTTTGATATAGTTGTTAAAGTCTCAGCCTTAAAGTTATACCAGGCTCTTTAGAGCCAACTAGTAGCCTTTCTCTGCACAAGAACAGTCCATGCACAAAATCTAAACTTCTGTAAAAAAACCCTAAGCCTCCAACTGAAATATAAGTTAGAGTGAGAGGGTAGAAAATAATGAAGTTTGATCATACCGCCTTTTTTTTTTTTTTTTTTTTAAAGGAAAAAGAGAAATGTGTTTAAATATATAAATATATTTTCTTAATTCTTGAACCGTAAATCAGGTGAGTTACCCTTTATGAAGCTTGCTCACTTCTCTTCAAAGAATTGCCAAACAGACAAGTTACAGTGCTAGTTTGCAGTTCACTCAACCTTTGAGAAAGGTATAATTGATTATTAAATAAATATTTTATGGAGGTTCAAACTGAACTCCATGATGGGAGAATATAGAATTGCAGAATTTTGAGCACAATATTTTCAACTGTAAACTGGGATCTTGCTTCAGAATCTCCAGTCAGGTTACTAAATTAGTTTGCATTCTTAATTGGGTACATCTTTGCAGTCTCTCTCATAGGCTCTTAATTCTTTTCTTCACAGTAAGACAAGATAATCTAATTAGTAATAGACTTAACATATACCCAAAAATTTCAAACTTGTTATTCAGAATACTGAAATAGAGTGAATGTTATGTACTTAGTATCACCGGAGAAACACTTACCCCGACAGCATCTCAAATATCAAAATTCCTAGAGCCCACCAGTCCACGGCTCTTCCATGACCTTTACTCTGTATCACTTCTGGCGCAAGGTATTCTGGTGTGCCACACAGCGTCCATGTTCTAAGAGAAACGAACCAACAAAAACAACATCTAAACTTTCACTTACTGTTTTAAAGGGCTGGATTGAAACTATAAATAAAATTAATACTATAGGCACAGTAATGTTTGGAACAGTCAAGTCCACAAAGCTCTAAATGTATATTACAAGTGGTAAGTCAAGAATATTGCTGTTTTTAATCATTTCATACAAAGTCAGAAAAAGGGCATTGTAATTATCTACTCTGAACTCCTATAACAGAGGTATAGGGAAGTGAAATGACTTGCTCAGGGTCCCATAGGAGGTTAGTGATAAAGATAGGAATAGAAACCAGGTTTCCTGATTCCCAGTACAGTGCTCTATTCACTAGACCAGTGGTCACCAATCCGTTGATGGCAATCGACTGGTTGATCCCGGAGCCTTGGCCAGTCGATCGTGATCTCTGGGGCTAAAAATCCGGTGGTGTAGGGGGCTCAGGCAGGCAGCCTGCCTGAGCCCTCTGCGCCGCTGATCAGGAGCCGCCTGTGGTAAACGCCTCCCAGCTGGAGCCTGCACCCCCGCCTGCACCCAAACCCCCAGCTGAAGATTTTTAGAATCATGTTGTTCATTCTATTTATCCATTCATATTCCTATGTTTGCATCTTATTTTCACGTTACGAAATTTCCAATATTTATAATTAGAATTTAACATGGAGTATAAACATTATATTTTGTAAGAAAAAAGGCAGAGAAATAGGCAAAATAAATAAATAATCACTAAGTGCACAGCTTTCATCTAATCCTGGAGACTGCATCCACCCTGCCAGTTTACCCCACAAAGCTTGTAGCTCATATGGAAATGAAACTTTTGTTATCTTCTCAAAAGCTGAAATCCTTCAAACTAGCTTAAATATGCAGTGAATAAATAACTTTTTAGACAATTTAAAATTACGTTCCTTATAGTGCATTGTAGTCCTGGGTCTGAGTCACCTGTACAATGAGGGCACTTTTGATCAGTCATGAATATTATTAGTAATACTAAGAATAGTAGTAACTTCAGCATCATGCAAGGAGGCATTTATGTAATGCTGCTAAAACCTCCAGTAAGCTACTGCCATTGAGAAAACCCACCTTGAATCTGCTGATTCAGTGTTTAACTTTGTACTCTGATCTCTGCTAGTCATCAGTGCACTACAACCCTACCCCTGTGGCTATTTAAGGTTCCCTACATGTGTCTGGAAATGACAACTTTCAGCAGAATCCCAGCCCTCCCCTTTAATAGGATTACCATAAGTCCGGATTTTCCCGGACATGTCCGGCTTTTTGCTCCTCAAATCCCCATCCAGGAGGAACTGCCAAAAACCCGAACATGTCCGGGAAAATACTCCCAGCTTTGTTTTGCCGGCATCCCTGCCCCAGTCCCCTGCTTACCTTAGAGCGGCTCCAGCAGGCTGCGAGCTGCAGGCGGATTCTCCCGCGGCGACGGCGGCTGCTGCTGCTCCCCCCAGACACCTCAGCTTTGTGTAGCTGAAGAGCCGAGCTGCCCGAGTGCTACAGGCGTCACGGTTTGTCAGGCAGCCCCCAGACCTCCAGACCCTGCGCCCCCGGCCGGGCGCTTCCCCTCCTGGGCTCCGGCTGCGTTGGGGAAACACCTGGCCGGGTGCGCAGGGTCTGGAGGCTGCGCCCGGCAAACCGTGAAGCCGGTAGTGCTTGAGCAGCTGTTTTGCGTGGCTGGGAGGGAGGAGGGGAAATATGGGGCGCTCAGGGGAGGGGGCGGGGCCAGAGCCCGTGGAGGGTCCTCTTTTTTTAATGTTTAAATATGGTAACCCTACCTTTAAACACATCTGAAGGACTCATGCCAGAACTCCCACCCATACCCCGCATCCTGTCCCACACCACAACCCCACTGCCCCAGCCCAGAGCCCCTTCCTGCATGTAAACTCCCCCCAGAGCCCTCACCCCCTCCCGCATCCCAATCCCCTGCACCAGCCCAGAGCCCGCTCCTGCACCCAAACTCCCTTTCAGAACCTGCAGCTCTCATCCTCTCCTGCACCCCAACAGTCTGGAGCCCCCTCCTGCACCCAAACTCCCTCCCAGGGCTTGCACCCCTCACTCCTGCACCCCAACCTCCTCCCCCAGGCTCAGCCATGCACACCCCACAGTTCGGAATGCTACACTGATTTGCAACGATCCTGGATATATATATGACTGCACAAGAGGCAGGGTAATAGCTAATCGGCCTGGCTATATGGTTCTATTCACAGCAGTACACACACACCAACAAGTACAGTAAGGGTTTGTAGTACGAATCACACTTCCGTGCATGAAATTCCTTTGCTATTTTTGGCTTTGCTGTGTGATAGCACAACAGGGCTGTTGTTGGGT